GCCCTCCTCCCTCCTCCCTCCTCCCTCCTCCTCCTTCCTCCCTCCTCCCTCCTTTCTTCAACTTCTTCTTCTTCTTCTTCTTTTTCAACTTCTTCTTCTCGTTTCAACTTCTTCTTCAACTTCTTCTTATCGCCATAGGTTCCCTCCCTCCTCCGTCGACATAGCTTTCCTCCTCCCTCCTCCCTCCTCTCTCCTCCCTCCCCTCTCGCTATAGTCTCGCTCCCTCCTCCGCCGCCATAGCTTTTCTCCTCCCTCCTCCCTCGTCCCTCCCCTCTCGCCTCCTTTTTCATAAAGCACCCCCTCCCCACACTTCCTCATAGCTCACTAACTCCACGTCAGCGGCCGCCATAGCCCACCCATCTTACCCTCCTCCATCTTCCTCCCTCTTCCCTCCTTACCCTTCCCCACCCCTCCCTCCTTTCTCCTAATGGTGCTCCCACCATAGCTTTCCTCCTCCCTCCTCCCTCCTCCCTCGCCTCCATAGCGCACCCCCTCCCCCCACTTCCCCCCTCCTCCCTCCTTTTTCATAGCGCATCAACTCCACGTCAGCGGCCGTTGTCGGAGGGCGCAGTGCCCCGACCCTCCTCTGTGTGCCAAGTCCCTACTGGATACCAGGTCCTCGCTCTGATGCGGCCGCTCGTTAAGCCATTATGGAACCTCCACAGCAACGCTGAACTACCAGGATGGTGCCTTGAAATGGACTGGCCCTGTTGATGTCTTCCCTCAGCAAAAAGGTGCGCCACAGGGACTTACATTGGTCCACGCAGGCTCGGCGCCCTGCTGTACAGCAGAGCACTACCGGCCTGTGGTCGTGGTAACCTCTGGGTTCGCCCTGGGACGCGAAGGTGAAAAGACTGCACTAGCTGCGCGCCGATCGCTCCCTGGTCAGGTTATGGGTTGGATGCTTGGAGCGGTGGCCGCTGTCGGGAAAAATAAAATATAAAAAAAAAGAAAACAAAAAAGGAAAAGTGAAAAGAAAGCTAGAGGTTTAATCTGCACGACTGAACTGCCAACTTTAGTTTGGGGAAATCTTATGACCTTTAGTCATTTTGTTCCTACGTCTTTTTTATTTTCATTATTATTATTATTATTATTATTATTATTATTATTATTATTGATATTATTACTTACTTTTTCTTTTTATACGATTGTCAGACTCGGTTTTCTTTTCGGCCCGTCATATCGCGGAAAGGCCAACGGTTTGAATTTCGAGCCCAAACTATGGTCTATGGCCTAAGYTGGCTGACCCCCCCYTGTATATCGTMTGTGGATGGACTGTCCGGTTGAACGTCGCGCGGTAGGACCCCAAAAGAGGGGCGACCCGTGGCCGCATCGGTAGGAAGCTTATCACCCCCCTAATGGAGGGTCATAAGCTCCCTCCTTGCCATCCGACACAGGTACCCGCTAGTGGTAGTATGTGGATGCCTTATGGGTAATGTGAGGGGTCGGGTAGTATTCCATTATGGGATCGTCGAGCTAGCAAAACCATCACGCCAGGGAACGGAGAGGTTGCGATGGGTTGTAAGAGAAATCTACTCATAATGTGACCGTTCAAGTTGGGGATCTGCCTTCAGGTCCCTTCCTTTTATTCCACCTGGTTATTATCCTCGAAAGACTCGGTTAATAAAATAAAAGAATTCAAATATTATTTGAGTTTAGTCCCTCGTTTTAAACAAAGAGGTAGCGATAAGCGGTGGTACTATAAAAGAAAGGGGAAGCAGATTTCTGGTTACCGCCTTGCTAGTGAGCGCCAGGCGTGCTCTCCACGCTCTGAGTCAGGTTGCTGCTCACAGCCAGTCGTTCGACTACCTTGGCCTATGTTGTGAGCTTTCAAGCGCGCACTATTTTGGACCAGTGGCCTAGTACGATATGGGGTCTATTGAGCGAAGTCCGGCCATGGCGCTGCATGGATATAGGCCGGATTGTTGGAACCTCCGGACGCGCTGGAGGCAAATGTCTGGGGAGGGACCCAGTATCACCGCTATCCTCAACTACGACGGGGGAGATGAAATCGATCTGAAAATTGATGTAGACGGGGCGAAGGAGGGGGAAATGAGAACTAATTCTAAGCTGCAGGAGGCGATCACGGAGGCAAGGGATCGCGCGGAAAGGCGTTGCAGGAGGGATGGAGTTACCGCGAGGATGCGAGTGACAATGGCGTATCATGAGGCGGAGACTTCCATCGACACGATAGACCGGGAACAGGCACATTTGGACAGGGACTCAGGAGGAGAGAGCGAAATGAGTGAGGGAGGAGACCGAGAAACCGATCTCAAGTCCTGGAACAGGCCGGACCAGGTTCGCAAGAACCACCCTCCGGTGCGACCTGCGGAAGGCGGGCCCGAGGCCAGCTCGCGACAGCAGAGGCCAGAGGCCGCGGGACAGTTGAGATGAGGGGCAAGGGGGAGAGACACGTGTGAGAGAGAGAGTCTTCGAGAGCAGCAGAGGAGCACAAAGGGCGGACGTCAACTTTGACTTCCGCTCGCAGGAGTACACCACAGGAGAGGGACGACACGGAGGAGAGAGAGACACTATGGTTAACRCGTGTAGGTGCGAATCACGTGCGATCTGGCGGATGATGCCCTACCGGTAGAAGGGACGTAAGCGCGTGTGGTGTTGCTGACGTCACCTTCACTTCCGTTGGAACGAYKAGACCGTCACCCTTGCGCGGCTCAGGCGGCTATCATAGGAGGCATCACCCTTGCAAGAGTTGCGGCCGACGTGGACAGTTCGGGATGAGCTTGACCCGAGCTTGATCAAAGCAGGGCAGTCTTTTTTTTGCGAGTTCGGGCGACGGGGTCATCCATGCACGAAACCGGTGGAAAGTGAGCCGGAGACAGACTCGCGACAGCGGACAAGCGGGCGGTAAGACCTTGCATAGAGGGCACAAGGACAGGACAATGTCAACTCGTTTCTGCTCAGGTGAAGTAGTTGATCAGTCACGAGAGAGAGAAAAGACTTATTGGGCGTGTAATGGGCGACCGACTCAAGGGAGAGGTAGGCTGGTGGAACTCATCGCTTTAATGACTCACAAGAAAACCCTTTTCCCTTTTGTCTGTTGCTATTAGGCAGGGTTCGATCAGTCTGAGACTCGAGTATTGTAGGAAAATGGCCACATATAGCACGAAAAGGTAATTTCCGCCAGTCCCCGTTCTCCGTTCGCAATCTTTCCATAGTACCACTGCGAAATCTGATAAACTTACAGAATGGGAATGACTAAAATCGTGGCTTAAACTCAACAGAGTAAGGACTAACAGGGATTACCAGTTCAGCAGTTGAATCGGTTTGCGCAGGGCATGACACGAAACGCCAGTTCTCTCTTCGCCCAGTACGCCTAATTGACATTACTCCATCAACCTACCCTCCTTGGACACACGGGTACTAGTAGATTTATGCCATGAATGATGTCAAACTCAAATGATACGCAACGAACGTTTCATCAGACCCAGTGAGGAAGATTAGTCCACATTCAGTCACACGAGACTACGTTACTACGACAAATCGTTCGGAGACAAGTCGCTCAGAGCTCTTAGCGGGAGCTCTCTCTCTCCTTCTCGTGCACCGCTAGACATTGCCATGACATGGCTGCCAATAGCCACGCAACCATCCTAGTACTCACAAAACGTCCCTTGCTTCCGACAACAATTAGTGAGCGAGCAGTGACTGCCTAGACGCAGGTTCAGTCATCCGRCAATCAAACGACGAACACRCCCTGATGTTTTCACCCACATAACTTGATCGGGTAAAAGTTTCAATTAAAGCAAGTATTCCAAGTAAGGTTTTATCAGGTATTGCAATGTGGAAAGATGTATGATAAGAGGTCTGTAATATTCAATGGTCAGCTGGAGAATTATGGAGTTAGACTGTGTACGAGCCTGTAGTGCTTTACTCACCGTTCGTGTGACTGTGAGGTGTTGAGAGACAAGTGAATGCCAGATCAGATGACTCTCGCGTAAACGTCCATTGTACTGTTAAGTATGAGAGGGTTACAGACCTGGCATCAGTATCCACTTTGTGAATAAAGTATCGACGGCGATTTCCTTGGTTGAACATTCATCGAACTGACCCGTTTTCTCTTAGTATTATTTTTCCTTTTTTTTCTTATTTAATAATTACTGGGAAACTGGGCAAGCTCCGGACGACCGAGTTGCAGGAAATGAGGTCTCAGATCATTGCAGCACGCTTCTTGACCAGGCGTTAAGAAAGAGGAAAAGGATTTTCCCCCAACATGATTAAGCAAGTGCCATAGCCAACGAGAATCTCAATTTTGATGATTTGACTCGAGGGTTTAGTAGGTCGACGCTTATCAACATTACCCTTTCCGTTGATGGGGAAAAGGAAAATACTACGAGAAGTCGCTTACCTCCTGGTAAAATTCCTAATTGATGGAGATTAGAAGTTTTTTTTTTTTTTTTTTGTCCTGCCTTGTACATGAATGAGTACGTGTCAACTTTTTTTCGTATCCTGAGGTGATGGGTAAGACGTGAGACGCTAAGCAAGGGGGCTTTTGTACAACACGTGGGACTGAGAAGAGCGTTTGCCTAGACCCAGATATCATATAGTTGGGCTAGCAGCAGTAACGCACTTGTGTTGTGCATGTGTGTTAGTCATGTAAGACATCATGCTTTACTGAGGGCAAAGAGGGAACACGCAATACGCCCTGTTCGTGTTAGCCGTAAAACTGTACTTTATGCATGGAGACCTTAAGGTGCACAGTCTAGAGCAAGAACGCCCATGTTCACGATTGTAACGCCGAGTGCAGAGTGACCCTGCAATCAAAGTCAATCGACAGACCTTGATTAAGCCCAATGCCTTGATATCCTCTAGTAAGAATGATAAAGGACAGGCCAAGTGACAGTATGCAAAATATGGACGGGTCATACAATTAAGTAGGTGCTTTTGGGATGCCTAAACTGTGTGTGGGCTGCATGAGACGAAAAGCTTTGAGCGACCCTGATTATGCGTGAGAAACCCCAGTGTCGGCCTCGTTTGGGTTCCCAAGAGTCATTTTGATGTCGAGTGTGTCATAATCTTGATGGTATGTCATTCGACGATGCAAATGCACGCTTACGATTCTCGGCTTGGCCTACTCCTGGTCGATACTGACACCCTGAAGAAAAAAAACGGGCAATGTTCTGATGTACGAAAACTGTTGGGGGCGACTTACTTCTCTTTGAGTATCAAGCCCAACCGAGCTGTTTTCAACCCACCTTACTTGTTGTTCGTAACTTGGTAAGTCATAGAAAACATGAGAGAAGACGAGATCCTAGTAGGAAAGTGTTGTTCTGTGATAGACAGAAAGGAGAGATGGGAGGAAGAAGCCTATACAGATAGGGAAACTCATAAACTGACTCAGAGGAGGTATGTTGTAGAGATGGCCGGAGGAAAGAAGTATATCGAATATGTGCTTTACTTTTATGGTCGAGATGGTAAATTGCACAGTACCAGTTCGTTCCTAGAAGCCATCGAACAGGCCAGATCAAGGCTCGTGTAAAAGCAGGAAATACCTAGACTCCCTTCACGAATTTCATTGGTATCTTGGTTAAGGAAAAGTTTCACCTTGCCAACTGCAGTGCTTTAAATAATCGGTGTCCTGGTAATCGAACATCCCAAGAACTTGACCAAAATCAGATCACGGTCTGATTAGGATTTCAAATCTGCTGTCAATCAGTTTTCAAATCAGCAGTTCAACAATGTTCAGTCTTGCCAGCGTATCCGATAGGTAGGCAATACACAACTCTTGGTGCTCAGTCATGTCATTAGTCAACAACGCTCTTATGCAGTTGTCAGTGACTAGCACTCAATGCAGTTGTCGGTGACTAGTACGCAAACGCAGCTGTCAGTGACTAGTACTCAATGTTGTTGTCAAAAGAGCGGCACTCAAAGCAGCATTCAGAAACATGTCTGACTCTGTAAACTTGTCAACCCAGTGACTGGTTGGTAATTGAATCAGCAGCCTTTACATGTGATCAGAGCTCGGTGATTGTACTTCCCTGGACCTAATCAGGAGTTAATTAAAATTTTCAATCAACGCCCAGTCAATTTTTCAGGTAGCAATCCAGTTGCATTCAACTACAATCATTACCCGACAATCTGTTATCTGTGCAACAGTCAGATCCCGGTCTGGACTGAACAGACGCTTGACGGTTGCTATCCAACACAAAGTTCAAGATTATTCAGACGGTATCTTTACTAGAAGGGACCGACCCGCCCTAATTTCCACTTCAGCCTATGAGTACAGTCCAATCATCCTCGGCTCAGGAGACTGTCCTGACSAGTCTCTGATCRCTTCCAGAGATGCTTTCCGGTATCGGTATGTCAATGCAGTCGGTTTCAYACARGAGKACCTATCCATCTATGTKGTCCACACTGAGTTCGTTGGTGGCACCGTCCATGACTTGAGGCCCTACTTGAAGAAGGGCAAGGAGTCTCATGAGCACTTTAACTTAGTCTGGACTGCAGCAGCCAGGTACCTGGAAGAGAGGGAGAAAGAGTTCGACGAGAGCGGTGCCAAGCTGATTCACAGMTTCGGACCAAAGCTCTTCTCTGACTATCCCAGACCTYCAGTACCTTTTACTCTGACTGATGGTTCTTGYTGRGGCGACTTGATAGATTTGCCAAAGAGGTATATATCATCGGCGCAGATTGAGTATCAGGCCTTGACGGAACCCTCAAAGTTCGATCATCTCAGACGGGGAATCTTCTCTATACCCTATCTGCCTACATTATGAGAAGAGTTTTGTTCCATGATTGACTTTCGGGTCATGTACCTTGGATGAAAATGTTTTGAGCTTGCAGGCTTCAGGTGGCTCTACATACAGAAGTCACAACCTCAGAGACTATGGAGACATGGCAAGAAGCCTAAACGACAGACAACAAAATGAGAGATTGAGTGCGAAGTTCAGAGGGATGAGTGAGGACTCCTGATTGATGTTGATCATGCTCTCTTCCATATGTACTTCCTGAGACTATTATGAGTTTTCATTCTTCTCTCATTCATTTAACTCTGTCATTGCTCGAGTTAGTCGGTCTTGCTTTTTACATTGTTCTTGCTTGATGATTGTTTTCGAGGATGATTCTGTCACAGTTCTCAAGATCGGATTGACATAATTTATGCATGCATAGTACTTCACAATTTATGATTATTATTTGCACGATTCTCTGTTATTCCGAATCAAAATAAAAGATTCCTAAGACCGGGGACCGACGAAGACCGTAATTGAAGGGTTTCGCTCGAAGCCGGACGCACMCAACAGAAATATATTTGCTTTATTTAATTTATTTTATTTATTGCAAGTTGCGTGATAGTCTGTTGGCTTTCTGGTCGCCTAAAGTGGCTTGACTGGAAAATGTGCGATAAAAATAGCGTCGTTGTCGGGGACATGAAAAATTTTCGTGTCCGGAACGAGCCTGGGTCAGCAAACAGCTTTGAGCTTTGATTAGGCCTTGAGAACTCTTGACAAATTCTGAATTTTTCCAGACTCATTTTGCAATCCTTTCTTGAGCTATTACTCTCTTGAGAAAGTTAAGTTGCTAACTGAGTCTTATCTTTCCTTGTGTGAGGTAGCACACTGGACTAGAGAAGGAGATTAACGTTACTGACTAAAGAGAATCAAGCTTGATCTCAGGTATGTCTCATGAGCCTTTAATATCCTTGAAACACTGCGAAGGGAAAGAAAGAAGCAAGAGTTCGTTGACCTCAACAAGAATGTTAACTTCTAATGCATTGAGAGAACTCTCAAAAGTAACT